AAATGGGTAAAAATGATGTGCCTCTGTAAACATGGGTACACATATATCACTGTAGCTTGATTCTTTTAATGTGATTCTTTTAATATCAATGTGGCATAATTCTTTTGAGAAGATACCCAGCAGAGGAATAGCTGGGTCAAATGGGACTTCTAACCCTTGTTGTTTGAGGTATCTCTATATTGATTTCAACAGTGGATACACTCTCTGCACTCCACCAATGATGAAGAAGTGATCCTATCTCCTCACAACCCCACCAGCATTTGTTATTGGTTGATTTCTTGATAGCAGCCATTCTTACTAGAGTGAGATAGAATCTCAGTGTTGTTTTCATCTGCATCTTTTGAATGACCAGTGATGTTGAACATTTTTTCATATGTTTATTTGCTGCTTTTATTTCTTTGTCAGAGAAATGTCTGTTCATTTCAGATGCCCATTTTTGAAATGATTCTTTATATTTGGGGAGATCTCATTTTTTTTTTTAGTTCTTTATATATGCTAGATAGTAGACCTTTGTCTGAGAAACAGCTAGTAAAACTTTTTTCCCACATTGTACATTGTTTCTTAGTTCTGTTGATGGTTTCTCTAGCAGTGCAGAAGCTTTTTAATAAGATGAGATCCCAGTTGTTGATTCTTTCTGCTAGTTCCTGTGCTAATGAGGATCTGTTCATAAAGTCTTTTCCTATGCCAATGTCTTCAAGAGTTCTGCCTAACTTATCTTCCAGCAGATTTAGTGTCTCTTTTTAATACTTAGATCTTTAATCCACTTGGATTTTAGTTTAGTGCATGGTGAAAGTTAGGGGTCTTGTTTTAATCTTTGGCAAGTTGAAATCCAGTTTTTCTAACACCATTTATTAAAGCAGCTATCTTTCTTCCAGTGAGGATGGTAGGCTCCTTTGTCAAAGATGAGGTAGCTGAGTATGTCAGGAGTTGTTTCTGCATCTTCTAATGTGTTGCACTGATCCTAGGATCTGTTTCTTTGCCAGTACCATACTGTTTTTGGTCTCAGTGACTTTGCAGGGTAGTTTCAAATTGGGAATTGTGATATCCCCTGCCATGTCTCTGTTGCCTAGAATTGCTTCTGCTATTCTAGGTCTCTTTTGATTTCAAATGGATTTTTGGATTGTTCTCTGTAGTTCTGTGAAATATACTGTTAGGATTTCAATTGAGATTGCATTGAATCTGTATAGCAATTTGAAAGTAGGGCCATGTTTCCTACATTGATTCTTCCTACCCAGGAACAAGGGATGTTTTTCCACTTTCTTATATCCTCTTTGATCTCTTTTTTCAGACTGTTGTAGTTCTCAATGTAGAGGTCTTTTGTTTGCTTTCACATTTTCTTTATTCATTCATCAGATGATGCATATTTGTATTACTTCCACTTTGCTTTGTAAATAATAATTCTATGCACATTCATATACACTTTTCTACAGGTGTGTGTTTCATTTCTCTTGAGTATGTAGAGGTAAATCTTTGGATCAAAGTGAACATTGTTTAATAGTGTGAGGATATGCTATTATGATTTATAAAACACGTAACATTATTATTTCCCCTTAGCAATGTGGGAGGCTTCCAGTTTCTTCCTGTGTTCATCAACATGTTATTGTCTGACATTGTGATTAATGTGTGACTGTGAAGTTATGTCTCACTGTGGTCCTGACTAAACTAATGGGTAAGCATCTTGTAATATGTCCATGAGTCATTCATATATCTCCTCTGGAGCAATATCAAGTAAGATACATTTCTGATTTTTAAAATTGGGCGTTTGTTTTTCATTATTGGGTTATAAAGGTTATTATGTATTTTGGATAGAAGTTCTTTATCAAATTTTTATCTGAAAATATTTTCTCTCATAATATGGCCTACCTTTACACTTTTTGGATGGTATCATTTTCAAGATAGACATTTTTTATTTGTTTGTCTGTTTGGGTACCTGAGATCGAACTCAGAACCTTGAGCTTGCCAGATAGGTACATTGCCACTGAGCTAAATCCCTGGCCCAAACAGAAGTTTTTTGTATTAACTTTTATGCTTATTTTTATCCATATTTTAATTTTTCTTGTAATTTGATATTTCACTTAAAATTACTGTTTGACTAAGGTTACTAAGATTTAATTTCATGTTTTCTTCTAGGATGCTTTTGTAGATTTTGCTGTTATACTTAGGTCTATTTTCTCCTCGTAGTAAATTTTTGTGTATGGTGTTAAGGAGGGAGTTCAAATGCATTCCTTTGGCTTGCAGATGTTCAGTTGTCCAGTACAATGTATTAAAACATGACACTTGGTACAATTTTTTTTATTTTTTTATTTTTTTCCTGTACCAGGGATTGAACTCAGGATCTTGAGCTTGCAAGCCGGCGCATATCTTACATTACAGTTGGGGCTAAGAAAACCTTAACTGAAAAAACTTGGGAATGTGATGTTTTTAAGAGGCTTTGAACAACTCTGATATATTCCTGGGAACCTAGAAGGCCACACAGATGTGCAAGTCTGGTGCCCATGCCAAGTGGTTCATGTGCCGAGGGAGACTTGATGAGGCGATGAGTTCAGTTCTGGCTGATGGGCTCTGAGTCTTTACACAAGCGAAATGTAAAGGAGGGTTATAAACTGCTTTCTGGGGCATGGAAGACAAGCACAACATCTAATAACTAAATTAAAAAGCTCAGCAAGGTTGCAGAATAGAACATCAATACATAAATATCAATTTCACTTCTGTACACTAAAATCAATAGATCAGGTCCCTGACTTATGAACTTTTGAGTTGTCAGATTTCACATGTGTACTGCATAAGACTCAATTTTTTGTCTTACAAACAAATCCAACCTATGAAAAATTCTCCAGGAAAAAAACTCTTGCATGAGTCATGGATTTTCTCTCTCTCTCTCTCTCTCTCTCTCTCTCTCTCTGTTGGACTACGGGTAATCATCCCCCTACAGCTACAGGTTGTGGAGATCTCATTTGTGGAGGAGGAAGGTGGCAGAATACCTCACTTCAGTTGAGATTAAGGAGATGTGTAAAATATGTGAAACCCTGCAAAATCTTGTAGAAAAGCACTACTGAAATAATGCTGTAGCAGTGCAAACAATACATCTGTTTAATGACAATGCAATGTCACGTTTCCATGAAACCCTCAAAAGTAGAAAACAAGCAAATAATCTTGGATAGGTTCCTTGTTAAAATTTGCATGAAAAGAAAAAGATTCCACTGAGCCAATAGATAACAGTGATTTCATTAGGGGTAGTGAAAGTCATCCTACAAAATAACCTTCTTCTCTCCTGTCTCCCTCACACCAGCCACAAAGGTTTTCAAAGGTACGTGGTTTATTTGCTTATTTTTCTTTACATTTTGCATTTTATTTATTATTTTTATTATTTTACAGTATCATAATCATTTTATATGAATATTTTTGGGTTGTGGAATGAATCATCTGAGTTTCCATTATTTCTTAAGGCAAACTTGCTTTGATGTACAAGTGCCTTGGATTACAAGCACATGTCCAAAATGAATTATGCTAGCAAACCAAGGTTTCATTGTAGATTAGTCATTATATGTGGCCTGCCCTTGGGAAAAGGACTTACCTTTAGGGGAGCCAGCTCTCTCTGGCTGATGAAAATTTCTAGAGAGCTAATCAGCAGTAAAATTGGTTGGAGGAACCATCATCACTGTTTCAGAGGATAAATGACATCCAACATTTTTTTCTATATTACCAATTTTGGTTTCCCGACAACCTGAGCAAATACCTGGTCATGGTGGCTACCCTAGTGGGTGACAGCCTGAGAGGTCTGAACTTTGGTCACTGTTTCCGTCACTGTCAGTAGCTCTTGAAATTGTCAGTTACCATTAAACCTAAGGAGTAGAGCACCAAGAAATATCTTGATACCAGACATATTCTTCCCTTCCCTCATTCCACAATTTCAGCTTTATCCTTGATGGTCAAATTACACACCTCTACCAGAGTGGAAATTTCTTTCCTCACATGCTGATCTCTTGGCACACAAAATTTTAAGTCCAGAGCAGCTCTGATTTAAGATTTAATGGAACTCTTGCTGTATCTCCTGGTGAGAATTTTTTCCTGCTGGGAATCAAGACTGGTAGACTCACAGATCTTAGACTTACAGAAAAAGAGACTTTAATGCATAGATACATTTTCAGAGTAGATTACAAGAATGCTAGGATAGCCACATCTACTTCCACCCATTGTTTCTGAACTCATGCATTCTATTCATTGAATAGAATAATGATATATATCTAATAATATATATATTTTATATATATAGAATAATGATATCTAATATATATAAAGGAATAATATATAATTCTCTCTATATATAATGATATATATCTAATAAATATATATATATATATAATGGATACAGTACTGTATAATGGATAATGATTTAACATATCTACTGTGCCCTGGAAGATGGAATCCTATTTTCATAGAGTTTTTTTTCTCTATGCCTGGGTCTTATGTATACCTTCATTATGGTTTCAGTGCTCACTAACAGTGTTTGTCAACTACACAACTATTCGCATATTAGGTCATCTGATTCTTCTGAGGCTGTCATATGCATTGTAAAATGTTTATCAACATCTGTGTCTTCTATTTGTGAGGTGCCAGTAGAACAAAGAAAATTATTCCCACATTTGTAAATGTTCCTGAGGAAGCAAAACTGTCCCTGATAGAGTGGCACTGGTAGGGAGGTTTGTAATTATGCCTTGTAACTTTATAAACAGGTACTACTTACATTCACACATAGTTTCTCTGGACTTCACCATCTTGAGGCCAAAAACTTTTATATTAAGTTTAATAACCTAAATCTCATAAAATCTTTACCCATCTACTCATGCAAGACCTTAACTTCTATTCTTTTTTCAAGTGTGTGCTCTGCACTTATTAGTTTAGGAAGAGGACAGTTGTACTCAGATGGAGCCATATGATGAATCTTGGCCAGTGACGTCTGTCATATCCAGCCTGAAAATTTTGTCAGTGAATCCCTTTAGGTCTTTCTTTTTCAGCTACATTGACTAATGTCATAACTGGAGGATGCTGAAGGCCCTATAACTCGCACCAGGATCAATTGCCTTGGAGAGCTGGTCTGGACCTCATGGATTTTGAGTGAGTGAGAGATATACCTTAACAGTGTTAAATCAATGAAAATTTACACTTAATGGTTACCACAGTCTAGCTTCAACTAACCTGATATATGGAAACTTCTTACTAAATACCCACCTTACATACAGCTATTTTTTCGTGTCCTATGTTATCGTTATAGCATCAAAGGCAATCTAAGTGTTTAATATTAGTATTTACTTGGCATTTCTGTTGCTTCTGGGCAGCATCACTCTATGGCCTGAGTAGTACACTGCTAATCCTGTCAAGCCACGTATTCATTTTTAGCTAATAATGCATTCACCATTTGGCTCTGCTTTTGTTTTTTCTCTTGTGATACCAAAAGAATTATGTGACACAAAATGGGGGAAAACAAATCTCTTCTCCTTCTTCCCTCTCTTCTCCCTAGCACTTATATTTCTTTCTGTAAGTCAGAGCAGTAACCTTGTACCCCTCTGTCTTTTCCTGTCAGTTAGGAAAATCACCCAACTTTTTTCCCCTCCATTTTTGACATGTAGCTTGTTCTTTTGCATGAGGACAGAAGCATGATATAGGAAGGTAACAATCTACATGATAGATATGAAGCTACATCCTGAAATGTTTCTATTTTACAACAACTAGGGTTTTATTATGAGAATAATGTTTGTCTTGTTCTGATTCTATACAAATGCATTATTGGCATCCTGCCTTTACCAAGCTAGCGAGTAAAGTCAGATTTTTTAAAAATTCAACAGTAAATACTATCATATGTAGGCTTAAATTGATAGGTTTAAATTTGACTTAAAAATTTACAGAAATACACACATATCCTAAGACCAAAAACTCTAAAAGAATGTAGTTAATGTGTGCATTTTATACAATGAAATTCTGTCTGCTTTTCTTTATATTGTCTTAGCAGTGGAGGAGTGAGGTGATCTAACAAGTAAATGACATTAGATGAGTATTTTCTAAATATGTTAGATATTCAAGCACAATGCATAAGGTAGAAAAAGAGATGAAGAAAAATGAAACTGCCTTAGTTTATTTCTCATTGCTGGGACAGTTTCTCAAAGGAGAGATTTATTGTGGCTCATGTCCACCATTGGCTGTTTCCAAGGCAGAAGCAGCATGGTAAAAGGGGCTGGAGGAGAGAAGCTGCTCACTTATGGTAGCGAGGAAGCAGAGAGAAGAGAAGAACCCAGCTGAGGAGGGAAATGTGCTCTCCCAAGCCATGCCCCCAATAATTTCTTTTGATCAGGCCCACCTCCTAACCTCACACTTAGCTATAGCATCCCTGTGATCCAATCATCCCGCAAAGCTAGAACTCTGAGCACATACAAACTTTGGGGCTCATTCTTAGTCTAACCCATAACAAAGCATCTATGTGTAGACATTTATGCAATTTTTATATGCATGTGTATAGTAAATACATGTATATTGTATATAGCACAGTAAATGGAGCCTTTGAAAGTATTGAGTAACAACTAAATCTGTATGTGGACATACAGGAGGAATAATTACATGATGACCCCACTACATGTGAAATTATTACCTGTTAGATGATAAGAACTTCATAGGATAAAAGCTATGAACCTTTCTTTTTCAGGTAAGGAAAGTTGAAAGTCCTTGAAGACCTACTTTAAGGGGAGGATAGAGAGGTTTCACCAGGTGCATTGTGTCTCATATAGGAAGGAGGCAGGCAGAAGAGCGACAGTTGTTGCAGAGTCAGTCTCTGTCATCCTTCACCAAATAACCTGGAGAGAAAAAGCAAAACAAGGGATTTTACAATGGAGTAATGTTTCTCTTGGACACAGGAAGATGCCCTTTAGGGAGCACAGGGAAAAGAATGCAGAGACTGCATGCTAAACTGCTCTCTTTGTTACGTAATTGTGCCAAACCAGAGGAGTGTGATTTTGACTGAGGTTTTTTCCCATGTGTGTGCACACGTGTAGTGTGTGTTTATGTCAGTATTTTAAAATAATTTTCTCTACTTTATTCCTGGATTTCATGACAGAAGGTACTATGTGAATTTTTGTTCTCCTCCAATACCTAAGTACAAATGCTTATCCTCTTGGATAGGCTCAGTGAGTGTTTCAGAGAAGCATGAGTATGAACCAGATAATGGTTTTAAGTGCCAACTAGGAATACACACGAAAGCTACTTCTAAAGCTGGGCATGGTGGCAAATGCTTTTTCTCAATATATATCTTGGTGGCATAACTCTGTAGACCTAGCACTCCAGAAAGCAAAGGCAGGAAAGTGGCAAGTTTGAGCCCAGCTTTAACAATTCAGTGACTTAGTAAGACCCTGTGTGAAAAAATAAGTGGAATGTAGTTTAGTGTGAGGACCCTGCCTGGTTTCCATCCCTGCCACTGGGGGGGTGGGGGGCTGCTCCAAAGAATATGACTTCCAATACAGAGGATCAATTTTTCATCTGCTTCAGCTTTTTCTTTCTAGCCCCAAAACAAGAAGCATAAAAGAATTTATTACTTTTAAAGGATCAGGATGAAACTGACATCTATCTTGAGAAGTCCAAATGGGACTTTCTGAAGTAACTCTCACAGCCATGTATATAGAGGGGAACTAAGATCTTGCACCAGTAGCAGAAACTCATAATGACAATAGATTGTGACTGCAGATTCCTGACACTCCAGAAAGACTTATGAGTGACTCCAAGATAATCAGAATTGGACTGGAAGAATAGAGCTGAAGATTCATTTGTGCTGTGCTGTTAGAAATAGCAACCTCAGTACTGGAAAGGAGGCTGCTAACTATGCCACCCTTCTACTTTCTGATCCTTACCTCCACATTACAAGGGCTATGTGGATCGGAAATTTGGACAGCTACCTGGATGTGTATTTCAGAATATAGAGATCTTTATAAGCAGACATCTCATTCTTCCTGCCTTTTCTACTCTACATATACTCTTCCAGAAAGAACCATTTTAAAAGGAGGATATCTGAAAGCACTGTTTTCCAGACAGAGAAATCTTCAGGTTATGTATAGAGAGCTCCCAGAGCACACTGTACACCGTGGTTTTATTTAATACTCCATTTCTTTTTCTTTGAGTTCTTGGATACCATACAGTGAATATTGGAGAGGTTTTCTTTTTGGTCCAGTGGACTAGTTAAGATGAAAACTAGCCAGATTTTGCAATTTATTATCCATCTGTATACCTGAAAATCAACTATTATACAAGTTATATATGTGACAGTGTCTTAATAAAGTATATAGGTACATATATAAAGAAAATAGCTTTTGTTTTTCTTTTGAGACAGAATCTTACTATGCAATTGAAATCAACCTGGAACTCATTATGTAGTCCAGGCTGGTCTCAAACTCACAGCAGTCTTCCTGCCTCAGCTGATGAATGCTGTGATTACAGGCACGCGCCAGCATGCCTGGCTCAAGAAAATAGCATATTTAATAAACACAAGAAGAAAAAACAATGAAAGTAACATATAATTGACACAAATTTTACAAAAGAGTGTATGGGATTGCCAGTAACATAAAAGGCAAATTGCCCATCAGTTGGAGACTGGATGAAGAAGATGTGGTTTTTCTATAAAATGGAATACTACTCAGCCATAAACAATGAGAAATTAGAGTCATTCACAGGGAAATGGATGCATATTGAGGTCATACTCAAGTGAAATAAGTAAGTCACACATGTACAAATACTAAATAGTTTCTCTGGCATGAAAAACTAAAAGTATAAATGAGATACAAAGGGTATAATTGACAACATGATACAGGAAGAAAAGGGCTAAAGGTGTAGGGGAAGTGGGAAGGGTAGGTGAAAGGAATTAAGGGAAAAGAAAAAACTATGAGAAAATGAAAAAATGGAAACAATTTTTTTGTAACTAGGAAAGGGAGGAGGAGGTGAAGGTAGAGCAGGGGTATGGGGGAAAATGAGAACCAAGATCTGTCATGTAAAGGTACAAGAGCCCAATGATGAATGTAACTGTACTGTAGATCTAAAAATGTATCAATAAACTCAGTGAGAAAAAAGAGGAAATTCCTTGCTATTAGTGCCTTCCAAATTAAAAAAAAAGAAACTAAACTAAATCAATAGATAGAACATTATGGAAATCTACAGAATAAAAGGAAAAGAGAGGTGTATGAGGGGAAGACACAAGAATTGAAAGGAAATCATAAGTATGGAAGCAGAACTATATTTATTGGAACAGAAATTTAGGTATGAAAAAGTAACTATGTGAAATATATAACAGAATAGATTAAATCTTGATTTTTTAATGTTGAAAGTAGCTTCACAAATGTATGAGAAAATTCTTCATAAATATGAATAGTCAAAAATAATCATATTGAATTATAGTTATGTTAAAATCAATAATCAAGGATATGGTTAAAAATTATCCTAAACTCTGAGGTTAGAGGACACTGAATCAAAGGGTCTAGGCAGTATCAGCAAAGTAACTCCCATAATTAGCCACATGTTGTCAAAGTTTAGAAATACAGAGATAAAGAAAAAAAAGCAAAGCATACACAACAGAATTTTCCTTCAATGAAGCAACAATAACAGCAGCACAAAAGCAAAAATAGTTCCAATCCCTGGAGGGTTGGATTTGAATGAATTAAATTGCTATATTTACTTTTCTATGTTTCCCACAATTTTCATATGATACTTCTATCACTTAAAATTTGAAGAAGACATTATAGTGTGTGTAAGTTATAACAGTTTCTAAAATTTGTAAGCTTTGAGTAGCTATGTATGTTTATCTTTTGTTATAACTCAAAGTATTCATAAAGGAACAATTGAAAAAAACTGTAGTTAAATTTATTTTCCTTTATATATTTTGTAAATAAGCAGGACTTATTTTTATTATAAAAGTATTTTTGAAGCATGAAATGTCTTTATATGAAACAAATCTTTGAGTGATTAAAATGTACATTTATGAATATTTAAAAAAATCTGAAAAACTACAAGAACAACCTAGCTTGGAAGAAAACATCATAAAAACAAAATATCTAAAACATTAAAAAGGAAGCTGATATATTTTCCTTCATAAGACATATTTTTAGTATATGTGCTGCTGAGCAAGCACAAGGCTTATATTTTTGTTGGCAAAAGATACTATAAAGAAAACAAAAAGACAAATGTTACATAAAATAAATACTTCGCAGCATGATGACAAAGATTCAACACTAGTAATATCTAAGTCCATAAATTGATAAAATTGATAAATAGCTCAATAGAAAAAAGTAAGTCGGGAGTATGCCTATACATTTTGTGAAAGAGCAAATCTGAATGCATAATAAACACATGAGAAATGTTCAAATTCAGTCATTAGCAGGGAAATGAAATTTAAAGTAACAGTGAGTACCAGATTAGCAAACATTCAGGTGAATGATAATACATTTCTGCTGGCAGAATATAGGGGAGAAGATTTATTCTGCCATGTGTTGCTAATATAAATGTAGGCGAGTTTTTGCAGGATTATCCAAAAGGAATTCAGTGGCAGCTGTTAAATTGTATCATTTGGCTTAGCAATTCCATTGCTGGTTATTTATACAATTATATTAAAGTAAACATTATAGTCTATAATGACATTTATACAAAGACGTACTGTACTCAGTGGCAAAGCGAAAAGAGAAAGAAAGAAGAAAATAACAAAATCCCATCAATCAGAGAAGGGCTGGGTAAATTAAGATAAATTCACACCAAAAGTATACAGCCCTTAGTGAAGAGTTAGAAAAATGACAGCTGGTTTGGAAAAGTTGCTATGATGTATTGGTGATTGAGAAAAAAAATGTGGCCCTATTTGAAAACCCCCAAGTTCCTAAGTATGTCATACCAAAATGATTCGGTAGTTGCTCCCCCCACCAAATGGATCAAACAAAGAATAAGGATACCTTGAAATAGTATTTCTCAGTGGAAGTATTTGGGAATTTGTGGATGTTGTTTTTGTTGATGTAAAACCTTTAGTGCAGTGAGTATGCTTACCATCCTCCTATGTACAGGCCCCACCATAACTCTAAAGCATTTGACACCACTTCCTTCAAATGTCCTCAAGATTTTTATTAGTGGTAAAAATTGCTCATACTCATCTAAACTTCACATCTAACTCCAAAAGTCTCCAGGTGTAATTGCTATGTGTTATTGATATGCTCAACTTTCAAGGGATTAAAGTACTATGTATAAAATGATATCAATGTACTTTGGTTTTCTGTTCAGAAATTTACCAGGAGCTATTTATAATTTTTGAGAATGATGTCACTGGTATCTGTATCTTTCATTGTTTTTGTTAGCCTACAGTTGAGTTTGGTGTGGGAAGCCAGCCATGGCCCATTGGATTTTTGAAAGATAACATTTGTTCCTCTTTAAGGACTGCACATGTTAAACTTGTTTCTGACCCTGCACGAGAGAAACTCGGATAGCCAAAGATCTGTAGGAGTCAGGTACTTCCTGTTAAAGATCTGACGTTAGCTGTAGGAGTCAGGTGTTTCCCGTTGATGTGCCTTTAAAAGGCTGATGCTTGTTTGCAATAAACGTCGCCTTGATCAGACTGTTGTCTTGGCGTCTTTCCTTTCTCTCTGCCCCATCTCCACCCCGCTGCTCTTTCGGGTTTGAGGCACTGCTGGACAGTGCTCTGCGTTGCCGGTTCGCGACAAGTGGCACCCAAACAGGGACCTGAAATTGTAGCGGCGAGTGGTGAGTAATCAGAAGAAGCCTGCTATCAAAAAGGGCTCGGCCGAGTCGAAACAAGGAGGACACCGCTGTCTGGAACGCCCGGTGGGGAAAATCCTCGGAGAAGCAGGTACCAATGGGGCACATAGGATCCAAGATGAAATTTAGCACAGTAATTCAGTCTTTATTCAGGGAGAAAGGAATTAGGGCAAAGAAAAAACAATTATAGTATAGAAAAAGGACATTTTAAACTGAAGTTGTTATAGAAGTTTAATAGTTAATGAGATAGAAAAATATTAGGAAAGCTATAAGTAAGAGTTGTACTTTTAACATGAAAGGTTTTTGTATGTTCCTCTTGTCTTTACCTAAGAATGTAGAGAATGTTTATGGAAATGATTTATAAAATGTTTGCTTGTTGGTTTCAAGTTTGTTATAAAAGGTTTACATTTACAGTCAAGAAGAGTTTTCATTCATTTAATCCTAATTCTACAAGAGATCTCTGTTAATTTTGACCTGCAAAAATTTTGACTAGTCATAACAAGAACATTTTGTAGTTCAATTGGCCAAAACCATCTGAGTGCACTCATTAAAACTGTGTTATGTTTGTCTGTCTTAAGTGTTATATGTTTGTCTGTCTTAAATGTTCAAAGATGTTTGTATGTTTTTGATCAGAATGACGTCAAATGCAAGTAGATTGTTGATTTCTACAACCTGGCTTTATAGGACCAAATAAAAAACTTAAAAGATAATTAAATACAACCTTTAAGTTTGGATACACCCCTGTTAGTGAATAAAGAAGCAGCTGCTCAGAAAATTTATTCTGATCTTTATTCACTAATGGGAGCCACCAAAATAATTTTCATAGCCTTATAAAAAAGATATGTCTTGTTAAATATGTTAAAAATATGTTATTGTAACGTGTCTGATGGTTATCTTCAAAAAATATTTTCTGTTAAAAAAGGGAAGATCCTGTTGATGCAGGGCTGTGTTGCAGGACATAGGATTTCATATAAGTATAATTATTATTGCTACTTTTCTGGTATGCAAAAGGTATTCATGTTGTTTGACCATGCAGGTTTTCCAGCATGTTGTTTGTGACAGTGACCTTTTGGTCTAGGTATTCTCCTCTCCAGGATGTGTCTCGGTGCACAAGCGGAAATTTCATTCCAAAAAGCAAAAAGTTTTCCTTCTTTATCCAGAATGAGGATTTAATGGGACTGGTGATTTAATGACA